AATAATAATTATTATTATTTAATCAAAATATAAAGACATGCAAAAATTACTCGAGTCTAATTCAGAACATTTCAGAACGGTTCCCTTTATGAAACCTGATTGATTGAATCTACAAATTTCAGCATCATCCATCTCAGTATCATTAACACAGTTAAATAACGCTTTAAACGTTCATATTAAATCTGTTGCCAATTTTGGTATAGTCGCATTACATGAAGATTGTCAATAATATACAAAATGCCTAATACTCAGTGGTCGAAAAAAGATCTGAAAATAATATGCAACAAAATTTTTCCGTATTTAAGAATAATGATTAAATTATTCTTTCATACAAGATTATCTAAATGTTATCACACAGTGGACGATCATTTACAGAGAGAAAAATTATTTCCGGATCTCTTTTTTCACCGCACTAACAAATCAATAATCAATAATCAATAAATTAACAAATTAAGAATAATGTGCAATACATAGTAAATTTTATTAACCTTTTTCGGATAATCTTAATTCCACTCGGCATAAACACTCTGCCCAAATATATCCCCCAAAGTTTTTTTACTAAGAGAGAGGGGAGGTCAAAAGAGAGGATAATGTAAACCACCAAATCAAAATAGTTTGGCCTTAAGTGTATCTAAAAAGTAAGTGCAAGGGTATCAAAAACGTATGTTTTGCGCCCTGGTGTACCCAGAATACTGTGCCACATGATTGGACGTTACTACAACTATAGTTACAAATATTATTAACCCTTTTTTTTATTGTTATATATCTTTTTAAATTTATACTACACGTTACTCTGGATATATCGACAATTTTTTTTAGTAAAAAATTCTGTCGATATAGTGAGTTATACCGACATTTTATATTAAATTTTGAAAAAAAATGCGATTTAGAAAGATTTTATTATTATGTCATTATATCCAGATGTCGGTATAATCAGAGTGACGTGTATAAATAATATCGTACATTCTCTTTTCGGCATCTACGCTCTTTATAATGATATATTAATTCTTATATAATTACTATACGGTCTTGACAAATATATTTAATTTATTTGATATTATGTGGACATGACTTTCATAATAATACATCTACTTTTATTTTTACAGCTACCAATTTACAGAGTGCAAGAAAAAAAGCACCGCTACTCATTTTATAAGATTTTTTAATTGCTAAAGTTAAAATATATCAATACCTCTAATTTATAATACTGGTATCATAATTAGGCAATTAAAAAACATATTTAATAACTATAATTATATTACATGCTAAATTTTGCACGTGTATACTAGACTCCACATTACAAGCCACAAACTCAAAACAATGCCTATTAAACCATAATTGTCTTTAGAATTAGTACACACACTATTAGATGCAGCTATAGCATCTTCTGCGGGTACAGTAGCAGTTACTGGTTGTAATGCAATGACAGTACTTGGTTGATAATAGGTTGTATAAGTCATTAAAATACCGTTACTTGAAGTAGTTATAGTTGTTTCATATCCTGGGTATATTATGGTAATAGTTTGTGTAAACGTTGTAACTGTGAATTTTGTTATTGTTTTATCAGAAGCTGATTTAATAGTTTCAACTTTGCCATTAATTGTGCATGTAGTTAATATTCCAGTTGCCGTTGTTCCAGTACTATATAAAAAATTAATAGAAAGTTTAGGTTTACATTTACTACAAAGAATATATATATAAAGATTAACGTAAAATTAAAACGCACATAATATGACAATTTTTCGTATTTGAGCATACATCAACAGTTGTTGTTGTTTCAGTTGGTAGTTTATTTGTTGTTAATCTTGATGCAAGCGGTTTTGTTGTCTCTTTCTGCTCTCCAGGCATGGCTGTCGTTGTTGTCGTTACTACAGAAGATGCAGGTGAAGCTACAGAAGAAATTGCAGAAGAAATTGTAGAAGAAATTGCAGGAGAATTTACAGGAACTTGTGTTGTTATGACAACAACCGTAACCATTGTCTGCACATTAAGAGTTGAAGAAACTTGTGTTGTAATTGCCATAGACGTCGTTAATGTCAATGCTACATTAGTTACGGGAGTTGCAAGAGTTACCGTAGTTGTTGGCACAGTTTGACTAAAGCTAAATTTTACAAAAATTATTACGAAAAATAATAAAAAGATCATGCGATTCTTGTCCAAGTGCATAATAAGTGCCATTTTTGTCAAGCAGCTAAAATTAGTTCATCAATTACAATTAACTCTCTCTATATGAACTAATGATTCAGAAAAATTTTGGCAAGCTCCAAAAATTGATATAGAGAGAGCTGAATGTATATCTGAAATCTCAAGTATTATTTATAGGTTTTGCTTTGGAGATTCATCTTTACACAACGATGATGGTGACTAATTGTTTGCTTGCACAAAAATTGTGTTTAATATAATTAAAAAAACATAATATATTACTATTTACTTTTTTGATAATCTAAACAATAAGACAAGCCCGAATTTGACTAAAAAAAAAGGTAATTTAATTTATTGTGTGTAACAACTTGTTTCTCATGTTTGGTAGAATTTTAATACATAGAATGATATTTTCTAGAATATTGGATATGCGACCTTTTTTTTCTTTTTTTTTATAAACACTAAGGCATATTCATTGATTTTTGTCAATTTTGAATTAACATGTGTCATCTGTGAGCAATGAACGTATGTCGTTTTGGAATCTGTATGAATTAAAAATATTCATTTTATCTGTTATTTAAATAATACTCATCTGACAACAATAAAAAAATAAATATATACTCCAAGAACGAAATGTGGCGCTTTATTTATGTTATTAAAACAACAATCATTGTATAGGATGAAAAAAAATTATTATATGCATCCACTTCGCTTTCGAAATGACGATTTGTTTCTTCTAAATGAGGTCAATTTTATCTATAATAATCACAATTTTTTCAAGTGTTTAATGACTCGTTTCACATATTAATTCATCGCTTATATAATATAAAACCTCGTTTAACAAATAAATAATTTACTCTGGACAAGGTAGATTTTTCTTTAAATAAGTCCGTGTTTTTGACTTAATTTGTTGAGTCAAAAAAGTAGAATTGCATTCTATAATTATTAAGAAAAAAAATCCTGAAGATACTTAAAAAATAAATGATATTTTTATACGTATTTAAAAGTTGCTTTATTGATATAATTCATTGTATCAATAAATTATTTATCGATTAGTGAAAATTCGAATTGATGGGAATTAATAAACGACAATAACAAACATAAAGTGATTTATGGAACTTGCATTCAATTTTTACGGTATTTTAATGGTATCTATCTGCTTTGTCAAACTTTCGGGAATTTGTTTAAATCTTTGTCATCACATATAAATTTGCTTCGGTGCATCCAACATGGGTTATATACACTGTGGCATATATTTGTTATGCGTACGTACGCCCTAGGAAAATGTAGTACGGTATGTGGCACGGATTGGTGTTTGAGATACATGGAACGAACGGAACGAACGTAAATGTGACATATACGTACGTACATTTTCTCTTAAGATGATAAAATTATCAAATAAATGCCTTATCAAAATACGAATACAGTCAACACTCATTAACATCAACCCATTTAGATTAGACAATTATGTTGATATATACAAGGATCGATAACAACTAGTTTTTATATAGCTTGGGCCTATTTTTTTCTTAGTAAAAGGTTGATATTAACGGGAGGTTGATGTTAACGAGGTTGATGTTAACGAGGTTGATATTAACGAGTGCTGACTGTATTTAGTAGCCATCACAAGTGTATAATTTAGTACCAATATTATAGAGCAATATAGCAAACAAATTAACTTATAAATACGTGTCTTTTGGCATGAAATGCGATTCTAATGTATTTTTATGTTTTTAAACAAGTTTACTTAGAATACAAGTTATATTCTTTTGGTAAAATTTTGAGCTATATATTAATTATTATTATTATACAGTGGATTTCATCTAAAGCCAACATACTGTATTTATATTTATGTGTCAATTTTTTGGTTGCAGTGTAATTTAATTATCCAATAACAATACAAAAAACTTAATACAATTTTAAGGATAGAGAATATATAGATTATTTTTATGATATTGATAAGAAATTTTTTTATTTTAATATTCTAAAAAATTTATTAAGTTGATGATGCTTATATTTTTAAGTAAAGTTGTAGATTAGTTTTTTCTAATTCTATCAGTAATAAAATCATTAAATTATTTAAATATTTAATAAAACTTTTATATTTAAAGATTAGATATCATCTTTGTTATATAATAAGTCTATAGTATAAATTATTCAAAATAATAAGTTTGTATAATTTTTACAAATTTGAAAAATCTCAACAAATTTATAATTTATACAGATATATTTTTTAAAAGAATATTGCTATTTATCGCCGGGGATACTATATCTCAAAAACCTACTAGCTAACACATGTCGAAGGTACTAAGTAAAATGTTCATGACCCCCAAAAACCTAACCCTAACAAAGATTTGGACCCTTATACCTAACCCTAACCTTGGTCTAAAATTGCACCCTATCTCTAAATTTGATAAAAAAAAATAGGTGGTGGTATCGCCACCGGCGATAAATGCTAAAATTCTTTTTAAAATAATTGTTTATTAAAATTTATATTATTAAAAACATGATTAAATTTATATACTATAAACTTTTAAATATAATTATAAAAAGTTTCTTAGTAGCATTCTTTAATTTTTGTAAAATTTTGGTTTATTATACAAATCATATAACAAAATAATCTATAAATACTCTACTCTTAAAATTTAATTATAAATTTAAATTTTATTATATTTTCTATATAAATTTTAAATTGTATCTAAATTTGAATTAATATAACTTTCTAAAAAAAAAAATTTGATAGTATAATAGTTTAACCAGTAAGTTATTAATTTATTAAAAAAAATTTCAAATATTTTTTGTTTTTAAAAGTTATATTAGTTTAAATAAAGATGATAAAATACACAATATATATATTTTAAATTAGCCAGTCAGAAGAGTCTTCTGTGGGAAGAAAAGATACAGCTACTCTTATAGTAAATAGATATTATATAATATCTGTTACTACCCTTATTTTAATAAAGGTTTTAAAATTTATACAAGTCTTAACTTAGATACTCCTCATATCCGTCTTTCTCATTTTTTTTATCTTGTATTAAAAAAAGATATATAGTTTGTATTATTTATGTCGGGGATGTAGCTTGGAAATGGATGATGTAAGAATTTGAATTATTTTAATATAAAATTTTAAAATTTTTGAGCTTTTTTTTTTTAGCTTTTTTTAGAATTTAGGGTTAGAGTTTATAATAAAAGAATATATGTGGAGTATCATCCGATTCCAAGCTTCATCCCCGATATTATCTATTTGCTTTAAGCTTTTAAAGTTTTTTTTTTTTATTAAGCATATAAAAAAAAGACTATATAAACTAACGTTCAATCTAGTGATGCCAACAATACTCATAATAAAACTTGATAAAATAATGACTTTCCATGTGAAAGGTTAATGCTGCTTATATTTTTGAAGTTCAAACTGACTGTAAAAACTATTAAAATATAATATATATTCGATAAAACCATAAATTAAGTATTTAACATTTACAGTATTATATAGTTTGTTAAAAGCTAATACGTTATGTTCTCAATCCTTAAAGCCCGCCAACAATATTTGGTACTTCGAAATCCATATTCCATGACCTTGCTTGATGTTGGTTTAAATTATATTTAGATGCTTCACTATACGATTCAATTTTAGTAAATTTTTTTTAAAAAACATAAACTGATATAACTTCGATATTAAATTTTTTTAAAAGCCATAAATTTTTTAAAATAAAAACAGAAATAGGAATACAATATTTCTGATCATAAATAAAACTACTCGTTAAAATAATATTTGCATAAAATAGAATAGTATTTTCCATTTTTCATTAATATAAGCATCCCATATTCATTGCGGCAAATTTATGAAATACTTGAAATACTTAAAATCTAAAAATTTTGACCAAAAAAAACTCTATCTTCGAGTTACTGTATCTGCGTCATTATAATAAATTTCTATACCTAATGAGATGCACCAAAAGTGGTTGGTCTGTTACTAAACTTTAAAATTGGGGACAGCTACTTGAATTTAGTGACTGATTCCCTATAAAAAATTTTTATCCGAATATTTCCATTATTTCTCCGTGGCCTCCGTAAAAATTCCATGAAAATGAAACATTTACGGATATCCGTGTTAGGGAGATGAAAATTTCCATGATTTAAGGTTATAAATTCCATGAAAATGAAACATTCATGGAAAAAACATGGAATAATAAACACGGATCAACATTTTTTATAGGGATTTCTAACTTAATTTCATAAATTCACCGTGATGTTCTGCTCAGGAACGACCATCTGAACTAGAAACTAAACAATTACCAATGTCACCAATGGCAATTGGATTATCATCAATTTTATTTAACATATTGAAATAATAAATAAAGAATTGTTAAATTATCGTGCAAACTCTTATGATCATAAATTTTTTTCATGTTATTTTTTGTACGTTTTTATGCAAGTACAACAACCCCGAATTAAAACTCAGTTAGCCAAACACGACTTGTAAATTAAAATTTTCCAAACAAGTCCCGTTTTCAAAATTTATATACACTACAATTTGAATGTAAAATTTTGATAAGTTGATTATATATAAAGTGAATCTCATATAAGAAAGGTGGTCGGGTTCATAGTAAAAATTTTACGTCGAAAGATTGTTAATAACTATTATATTGAGTAGATTTATTATAGACTGGTTTTGGTTTGACTTTCAATTATTAAGAGTTTAATTAGTCTTACTTTTATCGAAGGTTTCTTATGTCATGAGTTTATTTGTATTAATTGTTTCATCATAATGAATTTTGCAGAATAAATTTATGCGTTTTAATGATTTTTTTAGCTATTTTGATAAATTATTTTTATTATTTCTTTCCACCCAAGTTTTTTGTGATTTTTTGCATTCATAAACTTTTAGATTATTAACCATTCGTTCAATTGGTTTAAAATTTGGTCCGATATCTTTTGGTTTTTTTTTCGCTAAAG